ATTTTTTGTATTTTACTAATATTTTCATTTAGATATATGATTCTATTACAAGAACATATTAATGAACTGCAAATGAAAGTAAATATTCTTCAAGAAGCAAATAAAAATTTTGCTTTATTTCTAAAACATTTTCATAAAATGACACAAAATAAATCTCAATTAGAAGATTTATTAAATAAACATGAGAAATATCAAAAGCGACCACATGATCAAAACGAATCAAGTAAATTTTCACATTTATTTCAATATATATGATCAATTTTTTTTCAGTTAAATATCAACAACAATTTTATAATATTTATCAACGAAGTTATATTCATTTGCGTACAATTGAACAACAACGTCTTCTTGCTATTCGTGAACAAATGCGATTTGCTATGAATTTAACAATGGCTACAACAGATGATCATAATTTATTTAGTTCGAATAATTTCGATGATTTACTCAATACTTGGGATCAACAACATATCATTTCCATAGATCATTGGTCCCATTTTCCTCGTCGATCGAATATATCTCAACATGAAATATCATTGCTTTTACTCGATGAAATTAAACAAATTACTGATGAATATTATAATCACCGACAAAATATTATTCAGAATAAAAATCCAACATTAACTCGAATAACTAATCAATTAAAATTAATCGATAATTCAAATGATGCATTTGTCAAATGTATAGATTCGAATACATCGAATTTAACACAAAGTTATATTTGAATAAATCTAACAATTCTTTATTTTAATAGTACAAAAAAAACACTTGAGATATGAAAATATAGCAAATATGTATTGTCTAGCACAGAAAAAAACTGAAGCTTTTTACATGACTAAATGATCATGTAATAACAAAATTTACACTTCTGTTACATTCGAAACATTACTTGGTGAATCTCTTCGATCGATTGCAGTTGATGTTCTTAATGATTTCTTTTGAATAGCATCGTCTTGTTTAGTTTGTTTTCTCTGATTGTTTGTTCTTTTTTCATTAACTGTATTAACTTGACGAGGATATTGAAATTTTGGTTTACTTGGCAATCGCTGAGAACCACTCGTTTCTGATTCAAGAATTTGTGGAGTAAGAATAGCAGCCGTAGCAACTTTTTCTTCTAATGCTCGTTGTGGTGGTGGTCCATAAACATAACAATGTGGTCGTTTTCTTTGAATTCTTTTCAATTGATTTTGACGCCATACTTGCATATGTTGTGCATGACTCATTTGTGTACGTAATGTAGAGAAGTTAGTATTTGAAGAACCATTTTCCAGAGGATAATCAGCTGTCGATCCTCTTGAATCTTGTACACCTTGAAATAGTGGTGTACCGGTTGTTGGATGTATTATCGTTGATGTTGAGTGGTGTGATACTTGCCGTTGATACAGTGGAGGTGGTCCTCCAGATCTATCAGAAGCATCAGATGGTGCTTGAACAAGAACGTTTGGTGGAACGACAAAACCGGTACTTCTAGTACTGTCATCATTGTTTGATGTCATTGGAGGAGGTTGATTAATGGTGGAAGGAGCATGAGATCGAGGAGTATTATTCGTGTGTTGACCATTGCAATCATATAACATACATGAACGAATTGCAATATATCGTTCAGCTGGACTTTCAGGAAAATTGTCGGTAACGGGAATAACAGGTGTAGGTACAGAAAGAAGACGACGGGTTGGTGGAGGTCGTTGTTCAGTTGTTGGTATTGGAGCTCTGAAAAAAGAGAGAAATAGTTTAAGGAGAAAGATTTATTGTAAATAAACATACGCTCTTCTCGTTCTTTGTCTTGCTGATAAAGATTCTGGAACATCAACGCGTACAACTGGTTGTGGACTAGAAGCTGCAGGCTGCTGTTGTTGTTGTTGTTGTTGTTGTTGTTGTTGTTCATCAATTAAATTACTTCGTTGTATACGTAATAGAGCAAGACGACTTTGAGCTTGTTTTCTCAGATCAAATAAATGATAATTATTAATAATTGTATATGCAAGAAACCAACGAAAACGTGCTTGTTTTTGTTTTCTAATTTTCTCTTGTCTAATTGCTTCTTCTCGATTGACTAAATGACTGATAGTATTATAAGCCGTAGATATATAAGGAGTAGCAACTTTTTTTGCTTGTAAAGGTATATCTGATTCTTCATCTTCATCATCTTCTTCGTCATCCTCTTCTTCTTCTTCATCATCATCATCATTGTCATCATCATCTTCATCAGTTTCAACCGTTGATTCTTCTGTTGGTTGTTCTTCTTTTAATGTATATTGTGATGATTGTTTACTTTGTGGTTGTATTGAATGATTTGATGATGATCGAATCGAACCTGCATGTGAATATGAACGATTAATAATACCTGATTGACCTGTATCATTGTTTATTTCAGAATAATGACTACTATCATCATTTGTATTACTATGGCTTCGTATTGATGATGAACCTCCTAGTCGTCGTTGAGTTAATGGTGGTGTACTATGTTGGGCTTGACGATACGATATTGTTCGTAAAGAAGTTACATCACTTGAATTTGATGCTTGATCATATGATGGTGGAGAATAAATAGCAGTTAATTGAGCTGTACGTTCTTCATCTGTCGGAATCGTATCATAATGATTATCTTCTCTCGTTGGTTTAAAACCAGTAGAAACTTTCGGCACCATTCGACCAACTGTATCATATGATGCTAATAATGGTTTTTGTTCACGTACAGATGTTAACATACTACCATCATCAAGTGCTTCTGGTGATGGTTGTTTTTTTACTTGTTTATCAAGTACAGATTGTTTATTTGGCATCATCATTCTCACAGTATCATATGTTTTAACAATCCGACCACCATCATCATCTTCATCTTCTTCTTTTAAAATTTCTGGTTTCGAAACTTTTTTTGGTGATTGTTTCTTTTTCGTAGGTTCTTGTCGTTTAGGTGCACCATCATCATCTTCATCATTATCTTTATCTACTTTAGATTTATGTTGTTCTTTTTCTTTTTTCTTAGCTTCTGACTCTTGCTTCTTCTTTTGAGCTGCTGCTATTAGTTTCTGTTTTGATACACCACCATCATCATCTTCATCTTCATTCTGCTCTTGTTTTATTTTAGCTTTACGTTGTTCTTCTTGTTTTTTCTTAGCTTCTAATTCTTGTTTCTTCTTTAGAGCTATTGCTATTTGTTTCTGTTTTGATACACCACCATCATCATCTTCATCATCGTCTTTCTGTCCTTGTTTTATTTTAGCTTTACGTCGTTCTTCTTCTTTTTTCTTAGCTTCTAATTCTTGTTTCTTCTTTTGAGCTTGTATTTGTTGTATTGATATACCACCATCATCATCATCTTCATCGTCAATTTTTTTTGGTTTTGTAGCTGTTTTTTGTTGTTTATCTTGTTTTGGTTTAACAGTTTGCTTAGATTTTGAGATTTCTTCTTCATCATCATCTTCATCGATACGATGTGATGGTTTTTTTATTTTTGCTTCATTCTTTTTCTTTTTCTTTTCTTCAAGTTCTTGTTTTTGTTTAGCAATTATTTTTGGATTAAGACCACCATCATCATCTTCATCATCGTCCTCGTCTTCATCACTTACATCTTCTCGTTTTGGTACACGAGGTGGTGATGATTGTTGCATTGGTAATAAACGTGGCATTTCAGGAGGCATTATTTTTGATATAGTAGAATATGACGATGGTTTTATACCACCATCATCATCGAAATCATCATCATCATCATCATCAATATATTCCTTAGGCGGAAGATCTGAACGTGGTGGTGGTTCAGGTACAGGAGCAGATGGTGGTGGTAAAATAGGTCGATGTTGAGGAATAAGACGAGCAATTGCTGAGATATCTGGTGATGAATGACTGCCATCATCTTTCTGTTCTTTATCAATATTATTATCGACACTTGATTTTCGTTGCTTAGATTTCTGACTATTTCTATTAGAGCTCTGATAAAACAGAAGAAATGAATAAATAAATTAAATAATTAATACTACTCTTACTATTGATGAACTTGGTGATTTCTTTTTTGGTGTTATGTCTCTTATTGAAAGACCTTGCTCATCATCATCATCGTGCTGATCAACAACTGAAATTTGTCTATCTAATTTCGATTTTGATGGTGATACAATCTTTTGTGAAGGTACTTTTGTCTTTTTTGAGGATGTTCCATTTGTATTACGCTTTATTGTTGGTGGTGATACATTCACTTTTGCTCTTACGTCAACTACATCATCACCGAGTTCACCTGGTGCAATACAACATTCGTCATCATAACATTGATTAGGTCGTCGCTTAATAACATCATCATATAATGAATAACAAAAAGCTAAGTAAAAAATGACTACATTTCAAACTTTTCTATCTTATAAACTTACCGAGCATAATTGGATTTGTATGAGTAACTTCCATATGTAAATACGAAACATAAGCAGCAAAACCAATATCTAAAATTCAAAATTCTTTTTTATTTTCTTCAATAAGTATCAATAATTTACCAAATTTTTCTAATGGTCGTCCAAGAAAACTACAATCAAGTCGTGCCATATAAACCACATTAAGAAAAGTTGCTTTAATTAAACGTATGACACACGAAGCCATACCAAGAAAACAATCTTATCATTAGAAAAAAAAACTATACATTTATACATCTTATTATAAATGAAATTAAATCTTACCAGCAAAAAAATTAAAATAAAGAAATATTGCATAAGTTTTACGATTTTTTAAATTAAGTTTTTCATCCATATCTTGAATGAATAAAAATTTTCCAGCTGTTGATATACTACCCATTTTTAATAAATAAATAACAAGTACAGGTACAGTTATAGCAAGTACCACTTCAATATAACGCATTTGTAAAGAAATAAATCGTATTAAAGTTAATATAAATAATATTAAATGAAAACATATGACAAAACCCCATGCCATATAACCAACAAGAAAACCAGAATAATGAACAGATTTTGATGCAATAGCATTTGGTTTAAAATTCGCAGGTGATGGAATATTTTCATAAATACCTTTATATAGATCTTTTCGATGTAATTTATAATTTTTCATACCAACAAATAATTGACATGCATATATAATAACCGTAATAATTGCACTCATAATTATTTCTAATTTTAATGAAAAAAGTCCTTTGATTTCTAAATTAGTAAAAACGGAAATCAAAATCTTTACTTTAAATTATATAAAGTAAATGTTTTTCATACCAATATTTAACATTGATTCAAGATAAAATCTTAGAAATGCAAAATGACCTGTTGTTCTTGATATATATAGAAAAACGAATGTACATGCTAAATAATATAGAAAAACAATTGCAACTGCATATGTACATGTTGCCATTGTTGTAAAACGAAAATCTTCATCCCAAGTATAAATTGAACGAATAAAATCTTTGACACGTGTTTTACTAGCTTTTTTTTGTACTTCAGCTTCATGTTCATGATCGTCTAATTCATCGATATTTACCTTTTTTTTTGAATAGTTTATTTGAGCAAGTGCAATATTTCGTCGAAATAATTTTCTAACATAATATTTTGAAAATTCAAATTCATCGGGTTGAGCAACAGGTGATATCCATATACTTTGATTTTTTCTTAAGGGTACATAGATCGAATCATATACAAAACGTACCCATAATTCAGCACCAATATATGCAAGAAAGATAAAATGAGGAGTGTTTTTTATTAAACCATAAATTATAAACCATGTACCAAGTTCCTATTAAACAAAAGATAAAATATTACGATGATCGTATCTTTGACAGATATAAATAATCGCAATCAATCCTCTTTAAGATTAAACATCAAGGCAATAATTTGTGATACTAAGATAAAATCGTTAATAACCTACTTAATCTTTTTTTGAAACAGAATTTTCTTATCTTTAATATCATTCTGTTATGTATTGCTTTTCAAGTATATAATCTCATAAATCAGTAATTGTTGACTTATCAAATTTATTACAATATAGACTGTTGTATATGAAGTACCATCAGAAAGAAACGATGCGAAAATCTGGTACATACCATTCTTAATTTTGCTTCTTCTACAGCTGAATAATATTTTGATAATGGTAAAAATCCCATACATGATCCTTCTCGTACGATTGTATAAGCAATATCACCTAACATATATAGAGAAATAAAAAATCGCGGAACAACATTACGCAATTGTAGCGACGCAAGCACCGGATAATATCGAAGTCTAAAATAAATTTAGTTTTTATATTTTTTCAAAACATAAAAGAATTCTTCGTACCCAACAAGAATAACAACTGCTATTCCTTGAACTAAATCAATAAGAACACCATGATGTGATGGATCTGCTGTACTAAATGCAACTTCTTCAAATATTTTCAATACTTCAAATGCAAGTATTCCAAAAACTGTTGCTGTTGTAAAACGATTTGCTGTTCGAAATGGTTCAATTGGTGGTATTAAACCTAAATTATTTCTTATCATTTATACGAAATACTTTTAAAACAGAAAAATCTTACCTGGTCGACCATCACATACAGATAAACATAGGTTTTCACGTTTAACCGACCATGAAAAAATCAATATTAATGTAAGTGCAAATGGAAAAAATATTAAATTTCCCATACGATAATCTGCTATTTTTTCACATTGTGCTACTAATCGAATAGTATCATTAGCTAATACTTCTAATTTTGTTTCATCAGTTATATCATATTTAAATGAAGTAAAATGTGTGACTGTTGTTACAATAAATAATATTGATAGAAAGAATACACTCAATCCACCAACCCAACATAATCGAACAAGATCACGTTTATTAGGATTTTGTAATGGATCAATATTTCGCGGTGAACTAAAGAAAATCATATATATAATTTTAAAAGAAGATTAAAATATGAAAATCTAATTGTTATTTTATCTACAGTTTGTTTTAAATCAAGAATAAAAAGAAAACTATTTATCAATCAGAATTTCTAGAAATTGGCATACTTAAAAAATCGATGAACTTCTCGTCTAATAGATATATATGTATATACATGTATATTGAAAAAATATAAAAAAAAGAAGCTTACATAAAATTCATAATTTGCTCATGAAGTGTTTGACGACGCTCTTGAACAACAATTGGTATTTCTAGGTTTTCATCTTTGGTAGTTTTATGGTCATTTTCGTCTTCTCTTGAATAGTAAATTTATTTTATGGAAATTTAATACAAAAAAAAAATAATAATATATTTACCTATTACCAGATACTAATTTTAGTTTATCGTCTTTCTTTTTTAGCTTTTTAATTCGTCTATTGTGCTTATAAATTTTAATATATGCTTTGCAACAACTATACGAAAAACAAAAATTACATTATTGAGATCAGTTTATTTTAAAATATTCACTTTGACATAGCTCGAACAATCTTAATTAGCACCCATCGAATTGGTTTGAATGATAATCCATAAATGAAGAAAATCATGACAAGTCCAATTATAATTTGTTGACCTTGTTTTGAAACTAAAATTAAATAAACGAATACAGCTGAAGGATATTTTCCGCAAGATAAATAAATAAGATTTTATTCATGCGAGAATATATTATGTATAATATCAAACATTGCCAAAGGTCTATATCGATTTATTATACAATTGATTAAAACTACAGAACATGGAATATAAAATAGTCTGTCACCTACTCAATAGTTTTTTGAACTATACGATGAAATAACATATCATACTAGAAATTGTTGATTACATCATCTTGGAAGTTAATTTAGATTTCTTTATTATACTACGTTGTAAATCATTAATATCGCACATTCTTATCTCTTTCATTTTATTCTTCTATCTTGATTGATGAAGATTTATTAGAAATATTTAAATAATATTTACTCAATTAATTCTGTTTAAATAGAAAGTTTTTTGTTCGATTTTTTTTGTCTACGAAAAAAAAAGAAAATAAGCATTACCTCTTTCACAAAGGAGACCACCGTATAAAAATGAGCAGGAACACTTGAAACCTGATAATGTATTTACACAACGTCCATGTTCGCCACATACAATATTTGCAAAGCAAAAATCGAGTACTATATAATAATAAAATAATATTTACTGGACATATTTAAATAATTACAAACCATATTCACATGCATGTTCATATTCTATATCCGGTTCAACATTGCTCAATGAACATACAATATTATCCGCTTCTAAATAAGTTGTTAGAAGATAAATTGTCGAATCATTATGAATAACATTCCATCCTATTTGATCACATATTCCTTTAATATCTTCAATAGATTCAAATTCATCAGCATCATCTATTGAATCAAGATCATCATATTCATATTCTTCAATTGTAGTATTAGAAATAGTCGAATTCGATATATTCTGTTGTTGTTCTTCATTATCATCACCAATTAATTTTTGTTTATGTTTTTTAACAGTATGTTTAATTTTTTTCGAACGTCTTGATATACGTAAACCAGCTTGATCTAATTGATCAAGAACTTTTTCTTTTAATTTATAATATTTATCACGAAGTACAGTAAATTTATCTTTCATACGTCGCCATCGTCCTTGATCATCCATTAAAATTTCTGCAATATGTTTCCCTATAAGTAATTAATAGAATTAACAAAAACGAATGTCATATTTCTTTTACCTTTCAATAAATTTGGATCAATGTCAATCATTAATGATGGTAAATTATTTTTAGTTAAAACATGAGCTGCATAGAATAATTCTACTGTATTACGTATTTGCATTAAATTTGAATGATTTGAATGTAGTAGATTACATGTATGATTAGCTTCAGTAGGCGTTGATGTTGTATTCGATAAATAATAACAAGAACCACCTAAACGTCGCCATCCTTTTGGACAACGAAAACGATTGACTATAAAAGAAGAATAATGTCAAAAATCATAAACTTATTAAATAAATGTCTCATATTTCATTTCTTTTATATCAACTTACAGCATTTGTAAAGGTACGAGATCCGTACCTAACAAAATGTAATCGAGTACTTATTTTCCTAACAATCTTAATTATATAGTATTAACTTCGATAAAAAAAAAAGAAATCTTTATCGATAAATACGATTAAGATAAGTATAAGAATAGGTTTTTATTTTTTTAACTGAAATTATATAACTATATATCACCATATGGTTACACATTTATATTTAAAATAACCAAAAATATCGATTTACTTTTGTCGTTCTACGTTTTTATTGTCATGTGTTTATTAATATAATACATTTTTATGTCTTTTCAATGTCTACTGTCAATCTCAATAATTAACTTTTGATAAAATGCAAATAAAACGAAATATTTTTTTTGTTGTCAAATTCAAAGGTTTTATTTTACCTAGACAGCCCAAATTCATTGATATGACAAAATATATTTATAAATTATATCGACAAGTTCTTTCCTGTCCTATTTATAACAGAACGTCCTTCGAAAAGAGTCTATGACCTTCACATCAAATATACTACTAAATAACACATACCAGCTTCTTTGATTTTATCAATTATTATTGGAAATTTATCCCACAAAGATGTGATATCATCAAGTTCAAGATTTTGTATATATGCAGGCATAGCACATGTTGTTGGTTCAATGTAAAAATTAATTAATAATAAAAATACCGTACAATAAATAATTGGCGGCATATGTCACACAAATAACAAGTCAATTGTACATTAAAAAATAGACAAAGTTTTTTTTTATGTCTTTAAATCAGCCACAGGATGACGCTTGTACACATACCGCAAAAAAAAGGGAGAAAAAAAATGAATGGTAAATTTATTACGAATGACGGCTCTTGTAGTTCTCCACGATGGCGACAAGGCTCTTTTAGTAGGATGAGTTGTAATGAGAACGAAGAAGAAGAAGAAGAAGAACAGGCAAAAAGGAAAGAAAAAAGCAAAAAAAAAAAAAAGAAATACAACAAAACATCAACTACACATATGCAAATCGGGAGAGAAAGGAAGAAGAAAAAAATGGTTCAAGCATTTTTACTGTTAACAGAGAAAAAGAATAGTATGAGCATTTTGACATCTGAGAATCAGTAGCACTGGTCATGAGTTCATCACCTTCTTTTTCTTTCTTCTTCTTCTTTTTTTGTATGCGCATACATCCACATATCTACTTCAGATCAATGATATTATATACATACGCGTGTCTATGCGCCACTACCTCGTTCTTCCCCTACTGACCGCTATTGGTTCATCTAAGAATAATGTATGATGAATTACTAAATTGTTAGCACACTCGACAAAAGCGAGAGAGAGAAAGGCCAGCAGACATAAAGCGGATTAGCTTGTACCCGTAAGAGATCACTCATCAATCAATATTGTTCAATGACAATTACCATTTAAAAGATGAGATAAAATGTTTTACTAAGAATAAATACATTTATACACAAATGTCTATACCTTAATCGAGATCAAACACATTGACCGACAAGTTTATAAAGAACAAAAGATCCTTGTTCATATTTACATTTTGATTGTATATTAATTATCAAATGATTGTCCGATAAAAATATGATGTCATATAAATATATTATATTGAGTAAATGTACCGAAAAAACTTTTTTTTATACTTAATAGGTAATTAATGTCATTAACCAAGAATAAAGTCGTTAATAATTTGTACATATATATGTACATATAATAGGAGTCGTTTCAAATCATGAAAAAGAACAGTCACAATTGTACATAAACGATATATATATATTAGAACAATAAACTACTTATCCTTGTCTATAAAACAGTTGCAGACAAGTGTCAAATAACTTTAATTTATTTGAATACACTTAGACGAATAGACATTGTCTTATTCAACAAATATATGTATATCAGATTCTAGTTTACTTATTCAGTACACAATATTATCATACTTTTTCTATTTTCATTGATCAAATAAAGATATCGAACATAACTATATGTTTGAATTTCTAGTTTATTAATCTTCCTGTTTATGATTTTCACCGGAAATATTTATTTTGATTGATGGAATTTTGCTTCTAGACGTTATCTTGTAATTGGCACCCTCTATTGATGAAATCAATAAGAAAAAGAAATACAAAACTGTCAATAGTAATGCAAATAGAAACAAATATAAAATAATGGCTGATCAAACAATTTTTTTTAACTATAAAACAAAGGAATATTTTACTTTTTTTCATTTAACAAAATGAGTTCAACACAATATTATGATCCGCATTTAGTGATTGATTTCGAAGGTGATTATTACACAGATGTAAATGGATATCAAGTACCACAAAATATTCGTCATCGTTTTCGCTCAACGACAACATCACAACTTTTAGCTGATCAATATAAAGTTGAACGTGATAGAGCAGAATTAGAACGTGGTAATATTAAAAAGAAAACTATTGTTTATCAACCAACTCAAAAAAATGTAGCCGCATCTGATCCTGATTACGAAAAATTAAGTAATGATTTACGAAGTACTGTTTGTCGTGGTAATCCTGTACAACGTCGTAGTCATACAAAAACAGTTCATAATGAGGAAATATTTAAAGATTTTTTTCAAGAAAATACGCAGTCAAATTTACATCGTCGAAAAAAAGATTGGCTTGGTCGATGGATGGAAGCAGATATAATACGTGATAATCTTTATAAAAGTATGCTTCAAGCAAAAAAGAAAACAACAGAATAGACTTTATGGTTAAACTGAACGGCATAGACAAAAGTTTTCTTCTTTTTTTTTATAACGAAAAAAAAACAAACAAAAATAGAACGAAAAAAAAATGAAAGAAAGAGCGGGACAGAAAGAGAGAGAGAAAAAGACAAAAAAACTGAAGAAAAATAAAAAAAAAACTATGTCAGCGACGGCCAAGGGAATGCTGAAGGGTGAAAGGGATATGAAGTTTAATGCTTATTTTTTATGAACAGTTGCTCCAAGTGTTGGAAATTCATCGGTTGAAGCTAAATTCGGTTCTTTCTTTTTCGATACTTTTGGATTGATACCACTAACAACTGTAACAGATGAAGATGCTCCACCACTACGCATTTGTGGTGGACGATAAGCACCAGTTGATGCTGTTGCAGGTTTTGCTTCTTCAACTTTTTCTTGAACAATTGGTTCGGCTTGTTTTGGCTCTTGTTGCTGTTGTTGTTGTTGTTCTTCTTTTATTTGATTAAGTTTCCAAACAGGTTTATCTTTTTGTTGTTCACGATCAACAGATGCATCATTATTAGTATAATTATTATTTGGATTATTTTCATCATCATAATAATCATCGTCATCATCGTCATTATCATTATTTCCACGTGAAATTTTTAAACGTAATTGTTCATATTTAGATTTTGAATCTTCAAATTCTTCCCATTCATCTTGTGGTTGTCCTTCGGTTTTTGAAGCAATATTTATTTGTTGTTCATTTAAATGTTTATTAGTATCAGCAACTTTTGTTTTCGAATGTTTATGAGTATCTTCAACAATACTTGCACTACCAACAAATGGTTCTTCATTTATTTGTTGTTCATCATCGTCATCAATGTTATCCGGATTTTCTTTAAATGCTGATGTTGCTGATGTAACAATAACTAAACAAAAAAAAATACATTTAATTATTCGTATAAATTATTAGTTTACCTAATTGTTTAAGTAATTCTTCATTATTTGTTAATAGAGGTGTTTGTTTCTTATGTTTATTACCCTTTCGATCTTTTTTTTTAAAGAAATCATCAAGATCATCATTAGCGGCCATATTTATGGAATAATTAAAAAATAAAATAGAAGAAATAAAGAGGAGAGTTTTATAATAGACTTTGGTTTTGTTGAAATATATTATCAAATATAATTTTGTTTGGTCAAATTAATGTTATAGATTTTCATTCATAATCATCGGTAATTGTCCAGTTGAACATATGTTTTGAAGAGGAGAAAATTGTTTATGATTTGCAATATTGTTTAACAAAGTAATAGAGGAAATTTGACGGGAGAGAATATATGAAGAACGCGTTTTTGTACGACTCTTGACAGACGACAAAACGGAAGAACAATTGCTTGAAAAGCTTTTCTGTATAGAGTCAAGCATAATCTAAAAGAATGAAGAAAAAAAAAACGATAAAGAAAAAACAACAGCTATGATGAGAGTTAGAGTCATATGCATTGCAAACATTTTTCAATTATTTTATTTCAAAATGAGCCACGTCTTCGTTTTTTTCTCGAAAATCGAATAGTTAATTTAATATGACAAAGTATTACACCGATTGTGTTTTATAGATAAAAAACAAACGCCTATATATAGATTATGTGCATGCGCATACCTCTTTTTATGTCCTTGAGACAAACAGCGACCTGAGCAAACAAACGTTTACACACATCATCTTACTGAATGTATTTGGAAAAAAAAAAACAAGAATGATTTGGCTCTTTTTGCACTTACTTAAAAACATATACGAAAGGAAAAAGAAAAAAGAAAAGATAGAAAGATTAAATATTCGTCTCTTTATATCACCAGGTGACCACGATGAGAAAAATAATGAGTAAAGAAGAGAGAAAAAAACAAGAGAAAAATAAAGTGTACGTCGATGTAGTAAGATACGAAAAAAGAAATAAGAAGAACGAATCAAAAAATAGAAAAACATACTTAGCGTATTTTTTTTTGTTCTGTCACTATTAAATTATATCAAAAATAAACATTTATTGTCAAAACGAAAAAAAAAATTTTATTATTTAACATTTTGACATTGTGAAATTATACTTATCAAGAAATGCTTGTTCTAATTTAAATAATTTTATAGTAGCATATCCAGCTGCACCATATTGAAAGACTAGTACTTTTTCAATATGATCCAATGAAAGATGAATGAAAAAATCCAAATACCCTAGAAAATCAAGATCAAATGAATCTTCATATATAATTAGTTTTTTTACCTAAATATTGTGATTTTTCATCTTCAATTGAGAAGTGACTATCACTCGGTGATACTGGTTCACGAATATACGAGCCAATCTCTTCATCTTTAACGAATGCTATTTTTGAAGAACGAGGATGTTGAATACTACCTAAATAACTACAAATAATAGATTCAATATTATTTTTAATGTATTACTAACCTAAAGAATTATCTCCACGTTCATCAATATATATTCGTATTTTATTAGGCCATAGAAGAATTTTTTCAATCGTACAAAAATATCCATCATCATATCGACTTACAGTATTTTCAAGTTCATCGGGTAGAATTGTACGCATTAAATAGACTAATATGGTAAATATATTTGTTCCAAATAGATCCTACTTTGTTTGCAATAATCTAACCATGTTCTGTTTTCAGATAATTCTTTATTTATTGGATCACGACGTGCGACCATTTTTTTCCAATATTTTTCATCATGTGACAAAAGATAAAGACGTTGACAAGTTGATGTAAATGAAAGAAAATCACGTACATCGTTTTTCCATATACCATCAATGACATAAAATGTTACTATTTCAAGTACTTCATTTGGTAAATCAAGTAAATGAGTTGTCATCTGAAAGCAAACTACAAAAATTTTGGAAATATCAAAGGAGACAAATTATAGCTGTTTAGGTATCCTACAGGAAATTTTAGATTAACGTAAAGTTTATAATAAAGAGGAGAAAAAAAAGTGTTCGAAATTCTTTTTTTTCTTCGACAATTTAATGTTTGCTACCATGTCCATGATGAAATTCTTTTTCAAATTCTGCATCAGTTGTCTCATAACCTTTACCATCATAATGAATAGCATTAAACCATTTACTATGAAATGGTGAATGAATTCCATCCAAAAATGGCCATTTCATTTTTGGTCGTAAATGATCCCAATCTTTAAATTCAGGACGTACATGATCTTGTGGTACAACTAAATTAAGATATGTTAATAGAGCAACAGCTGGGATAGCAACAAGTAAAGATAACCATTTCCACATTTTAACTTGTGAACTAAACTGATCAGAAATTTTATCATATTCAAATGGATCAATTGGACAATAATCAATTGGTAATGGACGAACACTTTCAGGAACGCCTAAAATTATTACATATTTGCAATGTAATTTGAAATAAGAACACTTATTGAATTAACTCAATGCTTATTTACTAGTCGGAAGTTTTTATAATTTAATTATACAATGAGAGATTATTCTCAACTGCCAGAGAATCGATTTTATCATGTATTCTGCAACTGTTTTTTTTGTTTGATTATATATTGATCATTCAAAGACTGAATTTCTAATTATAAGTTTATCCTTTGAGAAACGATCTATTTTGTTATCATAAAAACAGTTTTTCTCATTGAGAGAATGAATAAATTATTTACCAGGCCAAATTTTGAGATTATGTGCACGTTGTTCATCTGTCAGTACGCTTACAGCGGATGAATTTTGTGCAGGTACACGAAATGCATCTTGTTGACGACGAACACCCACTGTTTGGGTTATGACACGTGTCAAATTCGCACGTGAACGAAGAGCTGTTAACATATTATTAGAAATACTTTCTACAAAAGGATAGTTTCAAATAAAGACTAAGAAATCATTTAAAATAAACAAATAAATAATAAACAACCAATCAAATGAATATTTCAACAGCAAATAAAATCAATGAATCAAAATTAAAAAGAAAAAATTTTATATAATAGAAAAATCCAATAAAAATATCATTTTCAAAATTTTATAAAACAATTTCAATAGCGCCATCTGTTATTGCATCAAAAAAAAGAAGAAGAAAAGAACCAAGCATATTCTTTCGATTGATTCGCGCTTTTGACACAATGGCATCAACGAAATTAACTAAAGGATCTATTGCTGTAATGTTCTATAATTTAATTTAATTCTTTTTTTATTAATTAATAAATTAAATATTTTAGCGTTATAAAACTGGTGATACTCAACAATCACCAATTGTTAAAATCACTGTATGAATATTAATCTAAATAAGAAAAAATTATTTTCTCCTTTTTTCTGTTAAAGAACGTTCGAGTATGTGGTGAATCTTCTACAGCAGCAAGTAATGATAGTGAACGTTATCGTTTATCAATAAGTGACGGTCAAGATACGTTTGATGCTTGTGTATTATCACCTGACCTAAATAAATTAATTAAAGAAAAACGTTTACATGACAATTCCATTGTTCAACTTGAAAAAGTTGTACATAATTCAACAGCTACTGGAAAGTATGTTAGATTTTTCAGTATACGTAAATTATTCATTTGAATATTGAATAGATCATTTTTAATAATTATGGATTTAATCATTTTACCTGAATCTTCTACAACAACAACTTCAAATAATAATAATAATAATAAACAAGCAAATACAAATATTTGTCCAATAGCGATGATCACACCGTACTTAAACGGAATGTAATATATTTTTGTTTGTAATAACTATTATATATAAATCTTTATTTTATTAAAGATGGAAAATTCGTGCACGATGTTTTGCTAAGAGTGCAATTCGACCACATCCTGTATGTGATTTTGATTTCGTTGATGCCAGTGGAGAAATTCGATTAGTTGCATTTCGTGATGAATGTACTCGTTTTCATCCGATGATCGAAATAGATAAAGTAATTACAAAACAAAACAAACTAATAATAATTTTTTCTTTCATTAAGATTTATGATATCATGGGTGTACGAGTAAAAACAGCAGATAAACGTTGGAATACTCTTCATAATGATTATGAGTTAACACTAAATTCAGGTTCAATTGTTCGATTAGTTAATGATCCTTCTGTAAATACTAGTATTCCTGATGTACATTATGATTTTATTCCACTTCAAGATGTTTCAAAACATACCAGCGAATCATATATTGGTAGAATATTTTTTCTTATTTATTTTTTGTATTATTTAATGTTTGTTAAATAAAGATGTTATTGGTATTATTGATACATGTTCAGATGCAATTCCATTTACTAGTAAAACATCTGGTAAAGATTCAAAACGTCGAGAATTAACATTGATTGATGAACATACGAGTATGTCTGTAACTTTATGGGATGATCAAGTAAAATTTATTGAATTAATTCTAAACGAAAATTGATCTTTTTTAAAATGTTGTAGGCTGAAGATTTCGACGAAGAATTAGCAGAAAATAAAACTGTTGTTGCATTTCGACGTATTCGAGTCGCTATTTATAATAACAGTAAAGACAAAGAAAAAAGTATAACCATATTTTCGTAAACATAAATCTTCTGTTTTAGAATATGGTTTATCTGGTAGTAAAAATATGATTATGAAAATTAATCCTGATCTTAAAGAAGCGAAACATTTAAGAATATGGTATGATGCTGGAGGTCATTCAGTACATAGTCAGATAACAACAACAACAACACCAACTCGTCCAGCATTAGATGGTTGATTATGAAATTTAATTTTATTATGATAAAAAATATATTGTTTGGTTTTTTTAGCATCATGGAAAACAATTGGACAAATCGAAAATGAAGAACTTGGTAGAAAAGGTCGACCAGATTATGTCATGTTAAAAGCTACATGTATGCATATAGCAGATAATCGAGTTATTTATATGGTTTGTTATTTTCTTTTCATAAATAACAATTTCGAATAAACTATTTTATAGAGTTGTCCAAATGATGGCTGTTCAAAGAAAGTGAATAAATTATCATCGGCTCTTTATCGTTGTGATAAATGTCAACAAGATTTTAATGAATGTCATTGGACTTATATGTTTCGTGTAAGTACGTTAAATGAACGAATGAATAATTGAAATTTTCTTTATATTTAGGCTGAACTTACTGATTCTACTGGTGCAATTTGGGCTTCATTTTTTGGACAACCAGCCGAACAACTTATGGGCTATGTAACAGCCGAACAATTTGCTGATGCTAAAGAAAATGTAATTCGATTAAATATTTAATAGAAATTTATATTTCTATTTCTAGGCTGATGAATTACTTATGCAAAAGTATTTAAATAAAAATACTTTCCGTGAAAAAATCTTTCGTTTACGTATCAATGAAGAAACATTCAATGTAAATCTTAGATTTCATTTAAAAAATTCTAATTATTTATTTTTAGGATATAACTACAGTTAAAATCTCATGTATATCGATTAGTGATATTGATTTTAGTGACTATGGTCATCGTTTAATTGCAAATATTCAAAATGGATTTTAATCGTTTTTTTTGTGTTTTTGAATAATTTTTAATAATATAATTGTTTTTAATTGTAAATTTTAATATTTAAAATAATATGTTTATTCCAGATTGTTTTATAAAAATGACTAATCCACGACTTACAACCGGTGCTCTTTTGGTAAATTTCTTTTGGATATGTGATTTATAAATGTTTGTTTTTCTTTAGAGATATTTACGTGGAAATACTTCGGAAAAAGCGATATTACAAGTTGCCGTAAGTGTTTTATTTAAAATTGATTTTAATAGAATTATTTTTTTAGGGTATTAAAACAATTGATAGTAAAACTGATGATTCGTCAACAGCTATGAAACGTTATCGTTTGATGTTATCTGATGGAAATAGCACATTTTCATGTAAGAAATTTCCTTATTAGTATTTATTATTAATATATATATATATTTAGCATGTATGCTTGGTACACAAATGAATAAATTGATTGAAACAAATTCTTTAAAAGAAAATTCTATTGTACGTATTGATCGTGTTATGGTTAATATAATTGATAAACAAAATGGACGGTATAAGTTTTGAAAAAAGTAAAAATAATATTAATAAAATTCTTATTTTATAGAGTTATGCTCATGATTCATGAACTTGAAGTAGTTCAAAGTGATTGCGAGCTAATTGGACAACCAGCTGCATTACCATTAACAGATATTATTAATAATGGTAGTAGTATAAATCGTATGGGTAACGTTTTCTGGGAATTTTATAACGTATTATTTCATGTGAAAATATTTTAGAAGCAACAGAAAACTCTCCAGTTGCAGGTATGAAACATTTGTCACAAGGAAATATTGATTAAAATTATTCTATTTTTTATTAGCACCTGCAACTACAAATGTCATCCGACCAGGATCTAAAGCAATACCAACATTAGATGATCGAAATAATACGAAAAACTCAAATAATGATAATAATCGATTTGCTTCCAAAAGTAGTAATGCTCTTGATAAAGAACGAATTGTTGAAATTGATACACTTAATCCATATATGAATAAGTTTGTTTTAAATATTCTTTTATAATTGTGTTTTTTTTATACAATCGAATAATATTTTAGATGGACAATTAAAGCTCGTGTTAGTAATAAAGGTCAAATTCGTAATTATCAAAATGCACGTGGTCCAGGAAAATTATTTAGTTGTGATCTTGTTGATCAATCAGGTGAAATTCGTGCAACAGCATTCAATGCTGACTGTGATAAATTTTATCCTTTACTTGAAGTTGGCGGAGTATGATCTTTAAAATCCTTCATAATTAAAAAATAAATAATTAAATTTTTTCTGTAAAGATTTATTATATAGCTCGAGCATCACTTAAACCAGCTAATCGTCAATTTAATACATTAAAGAGTGATTATGAAATGACATGGAATCATGATACATGTATTGAAGCATGTAATGCTGATGATGGTCAAAATATTCCTCAAGTTCAATTTAATTTTATTCCAATTTGTGAAATTGCTAATCGACCAGTAAATAACACTTGTGGTAAGTAAAGATAATCAGAAACTTAATAGAAAAGGTTTCTAAATAACCTTATGAGCAAAAATGAGATCAAGTCAAAACAAAAACCCAGTGTCTCATAAGTAATAATTTAAGAGTATGCATCCTTTTTCAAATACTCATAGAGTCATGAGAGACTTCATTTATTATAGGATAACATTAAAACTTAATTTTTAGATACTATTGGTGTTGTTAAAAGTACGTCAGATATTCAAACAATTGTTAGTAGAGCATCACAAAAAGAATTTAATAAACGTGAATTACTTTTGGTAGATGAAAAAGCATCAATAGCAGTAACATTATGGGGACAACAAGTAGACTTATTTGAAAATATTTGAATAATAAATTTAATATTTTTTTTATTTATTAGGCTGAAGAATTCAATGGTTCATCAAATCCTGTTCTTGCTTTGAAAGGAGTTAAAATTGGTGACTTTGGTGGTCGATCATTATCATGTTTTAATAGTACATTAATTTGTATTGAACCATCTGACACACCACGTACAGCTGAACTTCGTGCTTGGTATGATGCTGAAGGAAAATCAATGGATTTACCTGATTTATCAAAAGGATCAGATGGTGGAAATCGACAAGCATCATTTAAAACTTTATCTCAAGCTATTAATGATGGTACAGGAACAAGTGATAAACCTGATTATATTAATGTTAAAGGTATATGTACATTAATTAAAAAAGAATCAGTTGTTTATATGGTAAATAGGGAGAAAAAAATATAATTTGAAATTAAATAAATATAGTTTGTTTTTGTTTAATTTATAGATGTGTCCTGAAGAACGATGTGGAAAAAAAGTTATTGATGAAAATAATGGTACATATAGATGTGAAAAATGTAATAAATCATATACTAATTTTAAATGGGCTTATATGGTTTCGGTATGTATTCATTGTGAATGATGGATATAACTCTATTTCTATTGTAGGCTGAAATCACCGATAATACTGGATCTCAGTGGATAAATGTATTTCATCATGAAGCTGAAACATTACTTGGTATTACTGCTGAAGAATTTGGTAATCATAAACTGAATGTAAATATTTCATATTAATCAGAAATTAATGACAAAAACAAAATTAAATATTTATCTCTTTTAGCAAAATGAAAGTAT